TAAGGTTGCAGAAGTTGCTGATGTATCTGAACTTGACAAAGAGGAGATGACCAGTGTTCTCTCAGAGAGTGGACTTTCCATGACATTAACTGTAAGTTTGTAAATGTTGTGATGGCATTATTGGGTCAGTCAAGGTTTCTGGGATTCTGACCACCTTCCCCGCCCCTAACCTAACATTTTGCCTTAAGTGAGAAGTTAGTGTTAACGTTGGGTTAGGGGAGGGGTAGTTGGGCAGTTTCCCAGAAACCTTAACTGATCCGCATTTTTTTTAACAGCATATTATTAACAACAGTGAAAACTTGATATTGATAGAAAAGTATTTTAAAACTTACACACTCAATGTCTGATCAGGAGAGAAGCCATTCAAAAGCACTGTCAAGCTTGCTTGACAGTGAAGTGAAATTCACAAATAATAAAAAAAAAACATCAAACAGTTTAAAAGAAGAGAAGCAAAAATAAATATTTTTTTAGATCAGGCCCCAGTTGCTCAAAAGGTGATTAACCCTATCCACTGGTTAAATCACCATCCAGTGAATAAATAAACAGTGAGAAACAGATTAAAAATAAGTATTCTATACAACAAAATAAATTTAAAAATATCTAAAATACAGATCCTTACAAATTACATAAATTGGATAAAATGACAACTAATTAAAAATAATTTTCAAATACCTAAAATCTGAATCATTGTTATAAATAAAAGAGCAGTCTTTTTTGAAATTGATGCCCCTTATGACACCTTTAATAATTGTGGACTGTACTATCTGTCATTTGACCAGCTTGGGACAGGTGCATATGTTTTCATGGAGAGAACGGATTTACCTGCATGTACATGCAAATGTTGCCATCTCCTTCTCAAGGATATTGTTACCTACAACTACAACTTACAGGTCGTTGACCAGTTTATTACTGTATTATTGTTGTTCTGTGATTGTCTTTCAGAATGATAACAAAATGCGAGTCATCCAAAGCCTTATTGTACATGATGCCATTGGAAAGCCCAAAATACTTTTAGATCAACTAAGGGAAGGGCTTCAGACTCTGGGATTCGGGTCCAGAATGCAAGTATATCCTGAGCTTTTCAAAGAGCTATTTGTTGCAGGAGAAAAGGAAATGAAGGGTTCTGACATCAAGGAAATATTGATGTTTCCATCAGAGATGAGTGATGGTGAAGAAACCATCATGGAGCACATGACTGAGTTCATAGTTGGTGCAACACCAGATATTCTAAAGGCATTCGCCACCTTTGCTACTGGGGCACCCTGCTTACCAGAGTTTGGTTTAGAAAGGATCAGGATCGAATTTGAGGATGCTGGTTCCATTTTTTCCTCTACTTGCACAAAGAATGTAACCTTGCCAAGAAATTTCCCTGACGAGGACACCTTCCTGGCTGCACTTCAAGCAGTTTGTGATAATAGTGGGAAGGCATTTACTAGTATTTAACATCCATTTACGGCATGTTGGATCATTAGTTTAAATTTAATGTTTGCATGTTTTAATACACACTGAGAGGAATATGATGTAATAAGTCCAACAGGGGTCCAAACATTTGACTTATGGGAAAAAAGGGGAGAGGTACATGGGCAGCTGGTTGTTCCATCATTACATAACAATCTTGAGAATCTGAAAGATAACTTCAACTTCCACCTATCCTGATGCAGTA